GAAATGTGACACTTTCTCATGTCATGAAAATCCTGCAAGTTTCAGCATCCCTCCAGTGACTGACTCCCACCCCCAACACTCCTTGTCAGATGCAAGTGTGAGGTAGTTGTGGAATAGTAAGAGAATGCACTCCAGCAACCCCCACCCCCACCCACACTCTTCTCTAATAGCTACCAGGCTGAGCTTTGAGCCACAGTTTATGCTTTGGACACAGGACTGGAGCACTGTTCTCCGTGTTTGTTATGCTGAGCTGCCCTTAAAACGTGGAGAAACTTCTCCAAGCATTTGTTTTACCAACAAAGCCAGTAAAGTAGACTTTGGATAATTATCCCTTAGTTGACTTATGTAAACAGAACCTAAGAGAACTTTGCCGCTGGGAATGTACTGAGCCCCTCTTTGTTAGGGAGGAAGGGTAGCCTGTTAGAGTTTAGGAGTCCTCCGCGTGTTCAGCAGCTAGCTGCTCGCCTTTAGTGTTCGCCTCCATGCTCTGTGTCTTCCGAGGATGTGTGAATGTGTTTCGTGACTCAGAGTGCCGCGCCCTGATGGTTGAAGAATTGTCTCGCTGAAAATCAACTAGACTCGGAGTCAGAACGTTCTAGATTGAGGGCTGAGGAGATGGGTCAGTGGGCAAAGCTCACGCCATGCCAGAGTGAGGACCTGACTATCACACCCCCAGAACCCATGGGAAGTCAGGCGTGGCAGTGCACATCTGTAACTCTGAGTTCCTCTGGTGAGGTGGGAGGTGGGGACAGGAGAATCGGGGGAAGTTTGCAGGCTGGCTAGTGGACGGACAGGAGACCATTTCAAGGGGGAAGGTGAGGACCGACATCTGAAGTTAGCCTGGGACTTCCACATATGCGTTGTGGTTCTTGCATAAATACACACACACACACACACACACACACATGCACGCACGCATGCACGCACGCACGCACGCACACACACACACACACACTTTTTTATGTAAAGAGATTGTCCTGTTTTGAAGCCCAGATTGTTGTATGTAATAATTTTGAGACTCGGTTTGAACTGCCCAGCTTCCTGCTCAGAAGGGTGGGAATAATAAATGCTGTATGTCTCCACCACACTACAATCCCCTTTTATGCATAGCACGGATGAAATGAAGCTGCACTAGGCGGGGGCCCTGATTATCAGCTGTGGATGCCCGCCCTTGCCAGGGTGGATGGAGTGAACCGGCTCAGGTTTCAGGAAAAGACACCCTGTTCAAGGACAGTTACTCAGACCTTCCATCACTATGGCTTTTGTGATCATGAACAGCTGCCTCTAACCACCTCTGAGCCACACTGGACCACTGGGCAGCTCTGCTTCTTACCGAGTTCCTTTTTCATTAGGCTGAAATCTATCTTTGTAGCTGCCTGGGCGGTTTCCACTCTTCAGTTCTAGTTTCACAGGGTAACATGAAGCATTCAGACTGGAACATTGCGAGTCTTAGCAATCTGTAAGTGAGAAGGGGGTCTTAGGACTCTGCTTCCTGTTTCTCGCAATCCACTGTGGTCAGTGAGTGCTGGTGACCATCTCGTGCATGCTACGCATGGACACAGAAGGTAGCTATTGTTTCTCCCCCTGATGCCCGGAACTGGAACAGGGGGCCATGTAGCCCAGATGGAGAAGAATGGAAGAACCAACCTTATAACTCGTAATGTGAATAGCCACAGTGGTTTTCACATTATTTACGATGCCTTCTGGAGTAAACAGTGTCCACATTTATTGGGCTATAAATAGTTTAAATGGTCAACCAGACCAATAACATACAAAAATATGGGTGAGAGAATGGTAACTAATGAAGACAGGTATTTCACTTTTTATGCAAACCTATGTGTTTCACGGCCATTAAGTGAAAAGACGTAGTTGCATGTAGGCTAATGAAAAACGGTGGCATGGCAGTGTTCATGCTTTGCTGTGGTTGTAAGCTGTGAGAGGGCTTCTGAGTATCTGACCAGTGAGTAAAGGCATCAAGTTCTCACCACATGTTGCATCTTGATTCATAGAACGTGCACAGAGGTCAGTTGCTAAAGAGGCAACATGGGCCATGGTGTCCAGTTCCCTGCCCCGTTCTGACTCTGTTGTCAGGCAACAGCATGACTTGGAGGAAGGAACCGTGTACTCAAAGTCATTATTTCCCTCCACTTTAAAATGAGCCTACACGTTCCTCCTCCTCCTGCCTGTGTGAGATTTTTAGGATTAATTGTGAAAATTGGTTTGTATCTGAGTCTTAACACGGCTCCTTCAGGATTGTGTAGCTTTTGGAAGGTTCCATAAGCCTCATAGTCCCTCTTGTTGAGGTATTAGCGTCTCTCCCAGGGTTTTTGTGAGGAATAAATGAGATGATTCCCATGTAGGATGCAGAACTGTGACTGGCAGTTAATGCCTAAGTACTCATTGTCTTTTGTGAATTTTTGAAGGCTACGAGACAAAGTGTTTTTAATGTCTTGTGTGTTCTTCTGTTGTTGTTTTGTTTTTAGAACCTAATTTTAAAGCAATGACTTGTCAGTTGAGAGCATGTACTGCTCTTGCAGAGGAACTGAGTTTAGTTCCCAGCCCCCACATCAGCCCCATAGCCTCCTGTAACTCCAGCTCCAAGGGATCAGATGCTTTCCTCTAGCCTCTAGAGGCCCTGCAGTTAACACACAGAAACTTACACACAGGAATACACATACACACATAACTTAGAGAGACACATTTAGAAATGTGGCCATTAAATAGTCACACAGGGCATACATTCACACACACACACACACACACACGCACACACCCTTTTAATAAAATAAGCATCTTATTTACCAGTGAAACCTAGAGAACTAATTGGCTTGGCTAATATTTCTGAGCCTCTTGACTGGTTAAAAAATGACTTAATCATGAAGGTTTAGTTATGACACTGAGGACTTACTCCTAATTATCTTTTGTCTTTGGAGCTTTGGGTTAAATGGATTTATTCTAGGAATGTTCTTTCCCAGCCCTGTGAACTTAGGAAGCAGTGGGTGGGAGTCAGTGTCCCACCCAGTCATCTCTAGTACTATTGTAATCTTGAACTATGTCCAGAACTTGGCTGATATCATACATAAAAGAGGGAATTCAAAAAAAATGTACTTGACTCTTAACGGTACTAAGATTGTAGTACTTCTGTGTCTCATTTCGATGTTAAGGAGCATAAGATGTTGATGAGGGCCTCTACTTATCAAAGGCCCATTCATAATCACCCTAATGGTTTATTTCACAGAAGGCGTATCCAGATAGACACACTGGTGATGACTTACCATGACTCCCCTAGTAAGGTGGTGGGGGTGCTTAGAATGTAGCTAGCAGTTAGTTTACAAAGAGCTATTGAGCAAAGAAAAAAGCCTAAAATCAATTAGAGCTAAGGACTTTATAGATGCAAAATTATTTTATGTATTTGTTGTGTTAGTATGTGGAATCCAGGTTTTTGTACAATCTCTTCAAATTCATTTAACTAAAATTAAATTTTTCCCTTTTTAAAAATTGTATATTTGCATTTCATGTATGTAAGTGTTTTACTTGCACGTATATATGTGTAATGCATGCCTGTAGATGCCAGAAGAGGGCGCTGGACCTCCCTGGGAGTGGAGTTACAGGAAGTTGTGAGCCATTGTGTGGGTGCTGGGAATCAAACCCTGATCCTCTAGAAGGGCAGCCAGTGTGCTTAACTGTCAGATCATTGCTCCAGCCCACTGGAAAGAGGCCTTTGAATCACTCCTGGTTCTTCAGGCTAGGGAGCAGTTCGGACTGACATGGGCTTTGCTGATACTGACCTACAGCTGGGTGTAGGCATGGATATTTATAGCTAACTGTTATAGACTTTCACTGTCAGCTCCATTTGAAAGTTTGATTATAGACTATGAGCATATGGACTTCGTTTCCCTGTTTAGTGGTGCAGTTGGGGTTGTGGAATATTTTGTTTGAGCACCCTTATGTGGAACTTGATATGTCTCTTATCTTCTGGTTATATATTAGGTATTTCTTGAACGCCCAATTCTTAGTTTCTAAATATTTACTTTTATGCAGCATTATAGTCCTCCATAACATTTTCTTTTTCAGATGTAGAAATAACTTTTAAATATGCAAAGAGAAGAAGTTAATGTTACCTGCTAGCCATTTGGCTTTAAAATGCAGGTTTCTATTTAGGGATGTAATGCATGTGCTGTGTAGAATAGAAAGGAAATGGTCTAGAGTTAAATGATGTGTGCTAGATTATGACTCCTCAGCCCTGGGTCTGTGTGATGCAGGAAAGCTCTCTGCTTAAACAACAGAGTTCTCATTTGTTAGTTGGTGGAGTTGCCTGGGAAGGTTATGATATGCTAACAGTGTAAGAGGTCTGATACATTTTCAAGGTTTATGATATTTTATTTTAAAATTTGTTTCATTTATATTTAATGTGCCAAAGCAATGCTGGATGGATAATTGGGGGATCTGTTTTTTCTGGATGTATTTCTAGACATATTGTTTTCTAAAGGTTACCTAAAAGACATTGAAATGATGAGAAGGAATATTTGATTTCTGAACCAAAATAATTCCTCCCAATATTTTGTTGTTATGATTTTAGTGTTAATTTTCCCATTTTCCTGTTTTATTGTCTTTTTAATATCTTTGTGCATTTAGCTTTAAAATAAGTTAGAGTAGCTGGTTAGGATAGGTAGCTCACCGTTTCATATTCCTTAGTTTATTTCTGGACTGCCTGTCTTACATCTAAAGTGGTCTTATTTGCATATGCATTTTGAGGTTGTTCCCTTTGTGAGCAGAAAGGAAGGGATGTGGATTGATGCATGGTGAGTTGCACATCTCCCGTGGTCCTCTCCCCAGGATGAAGGGACTGTGCTCTAATTCAAGTTGCACTGTTGATGTGGGATCCATAGTTGAAGAAGCATCACACATTTTAATGAGATACAAAGTTGCACGTCGAGTTTTCATGGTACTTTAAACAAATACCTAATGTTTTGTTCTATGTTTTTGGTTTGTCTCTGTAGATGGTACTTTTCTGAAGCTGCTCATCAAGACTTCTCAGCATTGCTGCAGACATAAATAGGTAAGTGACATCCAAGGTCCTCATTGTTTGCTTTTGTTTGTTTTTTTTTCAAGACAGTGCCTTGTTATGTGGTTTTAAAACTCACAGCAATCTTGCTGTCCCAGCCCTCTGTGTGCTAGGATAATAGGCGGGGGCCATTGTCCCCAGCCTGATACTCTTGTTCTTGGAAGTATTCCCCAGGTGGGAAGCAGTTTTGAGAAAGGGATAGATTTTCACATTTTGGGACCTTGCCTGCTATCTTAGTTACTTTTCTATTGCTGTGATAAAACACCATGACCAAAGTGACTTACCAAAGGGGTAGAGTTCATGATGGTGCAGCAAAGACATGGCAGCAACATTAACTGAGAGGTCACATCCTTATCTGCAAGCAAGAGGTAGAGAGAGACAAATGGACCGAGCTTTTAAAACCTTCAAGCCCCAGTGACACACTTCCTCCAACAAGGCCACACCTCCTAGTCCTTCCCAAACAGTTCCACCAACTAGGAACTAAGCACTCAAACATATAAGCCAATTTGGGAGGGGGCCATTCTAATCCAAACCATGATGTCTGTGGAGCACTAGCTTTGCTAGGCTTAATGTAGCACTTGGGCAGCATCAATCATTATCATGAAGAACTCACTGGAATTGAATAGACAGCATTGAATTTAATTATTCTGATTTTTTTTCTCCAGTTCTGATCTGCTTTGTTCTGTCCCTGATCAGGAACAAGCTTCAGAGATCTGCATTGTGGAATAGGCCTCCCTTTTTAGCCTCTCTGTAGAGCATTTCAACTTCTGTGTCATTTCTCCCAGAAAGGGGAAGTAAATGTGGCCAATTTAAATACCCCAGATTTATTACTTGATGATCACTCACTCAGAGGGACTGCTAGGAAGAAAGTTGGAAGTGATTCAGCCACAGGTGATTAATTGAATAGATTTTAATTTTAAAAAGTCACCTTTGGAAAATATTAGTAGTAGAGGTTGAATATAACCCCTTGTCGTATGCATTCAGGAAAATCTAGGCAATGGTTAGTTGAATAACTCCAATGGGAGAGGCCTGTTCACCTCTGTTCTCTGGGGGCCCTGTTAGTGTTATAACCTTGGCAGTGAGCTTAGATCTAAGGAACCAGGACATGGTCCAGATTATAGTCAGATTGAAGACTGTCCAGTAGGGTCTGTTGCACTTGGAGGGTTTATTCAGTTTGTAGAAAAGCCATGGTTTTGGTTTACAGGTTTTGAGAATGGAAATATTTCCCCCTATGTCCCATTTTGGGATACTGATTTCTCAAGTGTTATTAGGTTCTACTAGCAGGGCTGTTCAGGAGACTTGCACTGTGTTTAATGAGAACTGCAAACACTCATGAGTTGTGAAATTATTTGAGTGGCAGCATTCTCATGGGAAAAAAAAGGGGCTAGGTGGTGTCCTGGGCAGGGTGAATGTTTGCACCTTATCAAACTGCTAATCTTTACATATCTGTTCCGTATTTATTTAGTACAGATGGGAGAAGCTGATTTTTCTAATAGAAATGATTAAACCAAGCATGTTAGTGGATACTTGTAATCATAGGAGAAGTTCAAGGTCATCTTTGACTACAATGACTTAGAAGCTAACCTGGGCTACTTGAGATCCTGTCTCAAAAATATGTACACAATATATTTACATACATATGTATATATTTCTGTACACACACACACACACATAACACCCTTTCCTGTATGCTAAAGAGAATTATTGCACAGAATTTCCTAAACCTTAGGATGTCATTAGAGATGCCAGTCTGCCATGCATTGTTCAGATCCAGAGTGTCATGTCAGCCAGGTGATAGGGACAGAGTGGGGATGGGCAGCGAGGCCTGTGTTCACTCATAACATTCTACAGGGAAAATATGCTCAACGGGAGGGGTCTGTGCTGTGAGAAACCAGTATGTCTCCACTCTGTTCAGAGGGACCATCTGCTTGAGAGTTCCCAGGAATGGGAGCCAGACCATGCTGCCTACCACGCAAGGAGTCATGTGACAACCCTGGCTAGGGCTGCCTGTGTTCTGCTGGTGGTTTGGTTTCCCCAGTGTGGGATGTCAGCCTGGATCACTGCCGGGCTGGCCTGGCCTGTTTAATCCATTTTGCAGTGCCTTGAGGGCCAAGTCATGTCTGCCCTTGAGGTCTTCTGCTCACCCAGCCTCCTCCCTGTCCTTCATGTTAGTTTCAGTTGTGAATTCATCTGAGACCAACAATGCAAACTTCATCAGTCAGGCGAGAACAGCCATTCGGAACTAAGGCTGTCAGAATTGAAGAGAAATGTAGTCCTACTTCCTGTTTCCTATGTTCAGCCTACATGGTAGCAGGTTTGGGTTCTCTTGAGCAGAAAGAACAATTGCAGTTTGAGAAGACTTTTGGACATCAATTGTCCTCAATATAGATCTCCCTTCCCTGGACACACATGGGCTGATGTCCCAGCTGAGGGGCCAGGTGGTTCTGCCTAAGGCAAGTTTCAGAACCTCCTGAACTCCAGCTCTGTACTTGGGAAGGCTTCTTCCTTGTCACTGGCTTGGGAGGTTGATGGAAGTGAATAGGGAGTCCTGTGTGTGGAGACTGTCAACCAGTGTCTCTCACCTGGTTCCCCGACACCAGGTATTGTGGAATCTGAGGACATTCTCCCAGTCTCTCCCCGAGGCTCTCAAATGTCTCACCTACCACACCCCCTTGGTAGAGAGGCAAGGTGTCCTGCTGTGCTCTGCCCCTGCCCTGAGGGAATTGTGGGAAGACTTTAAAGAGGGCAAGTTCAAGTATGTGATTAACATCAGAGGACTTTCTGGGCTTGAATCCCTGTTTATAATTAGGTATGTAACCCTGATGGAGTTCTTGAAACCTTGTCTAGTTCTCCGATGTCTCAGGCTGCTAGGAAGGCAGCGAGGTATTGTACGCTCAGAGTAGTGTGTGGGGAACAGACACCTAGTGAATCTTAAGAACAATGTTCATATCTATATCATGGCGCTAGGAGGAGGAAGAGGCATGACCGAAAAGTGTCCACAGTTTAAAGTCTCTTGCAGTACCGGGTTATATTTATTTGGCCCAGGAAGATAATCTGGATAGATGGAGAGTAATCACACAGTGAGCGCTGTCTCTGGAGATGCCAGTGAGACTTGGTCTTCCTGGGTTTTCCTCCTGGCTGGACCCAGGTGAACCAGCAAGTACAAGTGCTCGGCCTGCAGACCCCATGGTAGCGGCTGAGTCCTTGGAAATGGCCAGGGCCACTGAGGCACTGAATTTTTAAATTTCATTCCATTTTCATTATTTTAAAAGTTAGCACTGATGTTCTTATTGGGAAATCTTCTGCTGCCTCTAGGACAACTTGGGAAACCGGATCTAGTTTCCCAACTGTAAATTTCGTGACAAATGTTTGCTTAGCTGGAAGGATGGCTTTTGCTTGTGTGCTTTGATCTTACACTACTGATGTTCTAAATTTGCCATTGCACAGTGCAGAACTCATTTACATAATTAATCTGGAAGTCGTTAAAGGGAGTAGAGAAGTGTTTGTTTAGTAAGTGAGGGTATGACAACTTCCCTCCTTTACTAAGTGTGAATTGAACCAAATATATCATTTCTGTGATAACTACAGTCACCTTCATGGTTTGAAAAACACCATTAGAATCATGAGATACATAGCGTTTTTCAAGTTCTAATTTCTCCTCTTATTTCTTTTAATTCTTACTATCACTTTATATGCATGGGTTTTTTGACTACCTGTAGATCTATGCATATGCCATTACCCAGGAGGGCTGGAAGTGGGCATCAGGGCCTTAGGACTGGAGTTACACACATTTTTGAGCCACCGTGTGGATTCTGGGGAGCAAACCTGGGTCCTCTGAAGAGAAGCCAGTGCTTTTAACTACAGAGCCACCTTTCCAGTGCCCCGCCCCCCACTCCTGTTAAGTCTGAGTTAACAACTTGGTTTTCTTTTAATAAGGACCTCTGGCTACGGAAGCCTCCTAGGAACTCTCCCCTTCTTTCCATGAAAGTAGCTTTCCTTGACAAGCTGCAAGGAAGACAAGCTGAAGAGGAAGGACTAAACCTTCTTCAGTGGTTCTCGACATTCTTAATGTTTCCACCCCTTAGTATAGTTCCTCATGCTGTGGAAATTACTTCACTGCTACTTCATAACTGTAATTCTGCTATTGTAATGAATCATGGTGTGAATTTCTGATGTGCAGGGACTCTGATGTATAACCCCCGTGAAGGGGGCATTAGACGCAACTCAAGGGTTGAAAAAGGCCGCTTTAGGATATCCTCAGTGATGGTGCAAAGTAGATGGATGCCAGGTGAATGAAGGAGGGGTGTGGCAGGGTACCCAGCATCACTGCCTGACGCATAATATGTGCTCAGGGAATGCTTGGAAGTGGTGGGGTGAATGCGGACTTTACGTACGTTCTAATTCATAAAGGTGTTTGCTTTGTTCTGCATTGTATTGTGGTGCTGGAGATTCAGTCCAGATACTAAAGGATCTCTCTACCCCATCCTATAAAATGAGTTTGAGAATGACCCACCTAACACTTGGGAAGCCATAAAGGGTCTCTCAAGCAGAGAAGGAAGTTGAACACCAGCTGTCTATCTATCTAAAAGCTATGTCTTTGTGTGGATAAAGTGCATGTAGGAGTATCCCTTGTTGGAGCCAAATCCAGCAGGCAGGAAAACAGGCAGGGAGATGCCATGGCTAAAGACAGAAAGGGCTGAGAGGGCAAGCAAGGTGGGCAGGACCTCGGCTAACTGATAAGCAAGGCTAAGGAGGCAGGAGGGTTAGCCCCAGATAGGTACAGAGGTAGGGGTGTAAGAGATCGAGGTGTACGAGGTAGGGACGTAGCATTAGAAGAGTTGGATTGCTGTAATGCTTAAAGTGTGGTGGACAGATGTTAAAAAGAAACCTCATGTTGTGACCTAGACCTGGAGAGCAGTAGGAACAGTAAGCTGCTTTGAGGAGAGGAGGGGAAGCTTAAAAGGAACCTCTGTGACAATGAAAGGACCTTGTTT